ACATGAAGCGTCTTTGAGTGTCCTGAAAAGCGAGATATAAAACCAATGCATTATTATTATTATTATTTTAATTTTTTCAATGGAGAATGTTATTGAAGATAAATCTTTATCAGTAAAAGTTATGTCCAGATGGACTCGGTGCCTGGAGACTGTCTCCTCGTGCTACATGAGCAGAGCTTGTGGCGGTGGTGTGCAAGGGGTAATCACGCGCCTCTGCGGCTCTCTGTGACACAGGATGTGGTGATGTAATGCTGTTGGACTGACTTTTTCACACTCTTTCCCTCCGCTCACACTGCATTCAGCCCTCGGCCACTGACTTTTCAAGTCCATAATCTCGGCCCCGCTCTGGTCAGTGCGGTGCAGATAACTGCACACTTAGAAGTCAGACAGCGATGGCATAATAGTTGGTCTGTCTCATGTTTGGGAAATGCCCCTGGAACGTGTTCGTCTCGGACGTTTTTTTGTGAAATAATAATTAACTTTTTTTGTAATATTGACATTTATCTGTCAATAATCTTACAGGGATATGGCTGTGTTATCTCAGAGTATCTTCAACTATGAACTTATACTTAATCATTGAATTTATTATTTACATTGATCAAAGGGTCATGGTGCAGCTGAAACCAAAATATAAGTGCTTCACAGTTCATTAAAACATTTACCCAACAACCCACCCACCTAACCAACAGATCATTTTGCAATCTCAAAACATACATACTTTTTCTTCTGCATCTTCATTGCTGACTCGCAGATGTAGTCCATCTCTACAGTGCACGTCCTCCAGCTCATCTGGGGGAATATCAATGTATTCCCAGGACAAATATACTTAGTCCCTCCTTGTGCCCCTTCTTTCTGTGGGAAATACCGCCAAGGAGGTGTCTATGGGTATTCTAAACAGTTGCCCAAGCGACCAGGTGGCTCCTCTCGACGTGGAGGAGCAGCAGCTCTACTACTGTTTTATTAATCATTTATGGCATAGTCCTCGGAGTGAACACCATTATTATTTTGCTCATTCGCTGCCCTCATCAACCTCGAGGAAACATAAATAATGGATCTATATATTCTAACAGGACACACAGAACTGGTTAGAAAGACCTCAGGCCATAATACTGTGGTAATGGCATTATTTTTGTTTGTTTAATTTTGACCTAAAGAGTTTTAAGTTTCTGAAGGATTACTTTTATCACATCCCAAGAAAATAAAGGTTTCTCCCTTTTAAGGACACCCATCGCAGTATTGACTATTGTGCCTTTATATCGCAGTGACAGTGCGATACTGTTTTGATGAGAATAAAGCATCCTTTCCATGTTCAGTTATGTGCAGTTATGTAAACCATTGAAAAAACCAACTGTGCTGCCTCACGCTCCGTCAGCCAAGCACCACATCACCTGCACCGCTGTATTCACAAGAGGTGGACACTTCTCTCTCCTGCGCCGTCGTAACATCCCCAATCTCGCCTCTGAGGACTCCCCTGGATTAACATGAAAAAAATGCTAATTAAGCTGTATATGTGTGTGCGCGCGTGTGTGTCATAGTGTGTGTGTGTGTGTGTGTTAGCAAGGAGGAGGGCGTCTCCGCTTATCTCCCCTCCGCACTGCTGCAGCTTCATGTGCCACTTCAAACAGGCAGGAGGGGGTGAGATCAGGGGGCATGGGAGGGTCTGGTACCACGGGGAAATCGGACTGTGATATGAGAGCGCATTAACCAGGCAGGATGAAAGAGAACCAGGCTGTAAGTGTCTGTGCCAGCGGGAGGGTGACGGGCTTTCCCCAATTATCCAGCTCCGATATTCTATTTGATTTACACAGATAAACTAGAACATTGACATTTGGAGCTATACTTTGTTAACGACAAATGCTCACTTGCTCATGAGTCTACAGTAGCATTCACAGTAGCATTTTTTCTTTGAGCTTTGAGCATTTTCCCATCTTTTGTAAAGACTAATGGTTTTGTACATTGTCCCTGTGAACTAAACTAGACCTTATTAGTTATACGTGATAAGTACATGTATCAGTTTTTCTATAGCTCGTTTAACTCCTCTCCAATGTTGTCCACTGATCATGTTTTGAATCATGAGTTCACTTTGCTTTCATCAGGAAGACGCTATGTTTCACCCTATTGTAAAACCAATCCTCACTTAAAATCTTTTGTTCCAACTGCTATTATGCCCCAGTTTGGACAAAGACACTGCGGAGACACTGCAAAGCAATTGACCAGGCTCCTTATTTGAAGTGCACAGCGTCTACACAACAACGGAAAACAATGTAGTTCTAGCGCCCGGGCAGTAGGGGGCAGTGGAACCTCCACTATTGCTGTTTAAGTTTGTTATCGGCTGCTGCGTATATCCAAATGTACATGCAGGGCAGTGGTGAGGTCATAGCAGCCAGAGAATCGACACTGCCAAACCGATGGCCAACAGCGTCCAGGTGTAAACAGCACTTATGCCGCGTTCAGACCGGAGCATGCGTTGCGTCTGCTTTCAATGCAAAGTCAATGGTGACACGCGTTTGAGCGTCAAAACGCACGGACCGCTCGGCACACAAGCACGGACCGCGCAGGAGAGACGCACGGACTGCGCGGGAAAGTCAAAGGGGAGGAGCAGGAGCGGAAAATGGACGCCCACGGGAGATAAACTTTGCTCAACCTTTCCTCGGGACGTTCGTGCAGCGACCAATCAGAGAGCCGCAAAGTGGTCACGGGGACATTGGTGGTCTGAGCGAGCAGACTGAAAATACTGTAAACAGCCAACATAGGAGCTACACCAGGACTAAACCAGGACTAAACCAGGACTAAACCAGGGTTGACAATGGGGGACTCTGTGCTTGTGAACATATGCGTTGTCATGCTCCCGTGACTTTATGCAACTGCTTCGAGTGTGTTCGCCGATGCGGTAATACCGTTTAATAATAAATTAAACTTATTGCGCACCTCCGTGAACACATACTGCTGTTATATAAAGTCCGTGGAAGGTCTCTGAGCAAAGACACACTGCCAAGCTGCATTATTGGAGACGATCTTTACACGAGAAGCCGCTAGCATAGCTCTTTTAGCATTAGAACTCTCTGTAGCTGTTGGTGATATAGACTTTTCTCTTTGAGTTTATATTTTCGTATTATGTTCATATGTTCGAATGGTCTCCACTTCATATCATACACACATTACTTATGATGCTGTCTGACATTTCCTGCGTTTGTATGTGTTTTTTATATTCTTCTGCCTGGTTCTACTCAAAGAAGTTTCCCCTGCTGGGATAGCTAAAGTAGTCTGAATCTGAATCTGAATATTTTTATATTGTAAATACGGTACAAAATTGTGTGTCCCAGCTGTTTTATATACATTTTGTAAACATATATTGAATGCTCTATGGTTCATGTGCAAAATACTTGGATAATAATAATGGATAATAGAAATGTTCCTCTGCTACAGTATATTGGAGAAGAAAACCCTGTAAAAAGACACATATACATCTCCATCGTCACACGGCTGTTGGAATTCACTGTATGTCACTTTCGGTCTTACTGTACTCGTTAGGTTTTTGGCCTCCTTTTGCATTTTTGTCATTGCACTGGGGAAATAAGACAACCAGCATTCCACACACGTGACATCTTCCTCTGTGTACGCCATAAAACATCTGTCTATGGAATGTTTAAATTCATTTCCATGGAGACCAATTTGCAATGCACCTTCTGAAAGTACTAATGTCGTCAAAGAAGATATATAATCTATTATTTTTGGGCAATAAACATGATATTGAGACTAGATAGATGTAATTTGTCATGTCTTAGAATTTGAAGTCATTTATTAAGTAGAAAATACAGAGTAAAACAAGGGTTGGGTAATAATTTAGTTTGTGATGATTCTATTCTGGGACTGAGACTGGAGCATTTACATCCTGTCGCTTACATGCTTGTGCCAAAAAATCCTCATTAAAGTTGTTTTTAGATCCATTCACGTTTATGATCCAAAAACAACTCCAGGAACTAGTATAGTACAGTATGTATTATTTATAGATGTTTTTTTTGTTAGCAGTGCGTTGCTTTTGTACCATTTCATCAGTGATTGCTGGACGGCTAAAGTTGCGCTAATGTTTGCATACGTAGCGGATCGCAAATAAACCTAGATGGCTCCGTGGGATGAGAGCGTAGGGGAAATGAGAAGCCTGCGAGTGAGTTGGGGGCGGGGCTAAACATTCAAACAGCCATAATGAGTCTTCAGTTAGCACTATAAAACAAAAAATTGAAACTATGCACAAAAACTACATTCTCATTGTTCCAACATTTCCCCTCCTTAACTTAAGACAATAATATTAATATTTATTTTGTATAGCACCTTTCAAAAACAGTGTTTACAAAGCGCTGCACAGTCAACATACATAAAAAAAACAGTCATAATAACACAAAGTCAACATAATTAACAGTAGATACAGGAAAAAAACGCAGACAGAGGAAACACAAGAAGTCAAAACAAAGAAAAAGGTTAAAAGCTGTTCGATAAAAGTGGGTTTTAAGAAGTGATTTAAAAGATTCAATCAAATCAATAATGTTGTTGTTGTTGTAGAGCGTCTTTAATACACAAGGCAACACCAAGCGCCTATAACCCATATCCCATCAAGCATAAATCATAAACATTAAAATCTACTTAATTAATAAAAAATACAATTAAAATCCCACAAGGCAAGATACAAATCAATACAAAAAATATATTAATTCACAAAAGAAGAGAAAAAATCTAGCAGAATCCCCACGGTCGCCATACCCCACTTATTCAATTCCCAGGCATTTAACAGTGCGAAGGGTTAACCCGGTTCAAGTGTAATGCAATCTGCGGCGGGGGTGTGGTCGGCGTGGATACGGGGGGGATCAGTAATGGTGGTCGGCGGTTCTCGGCGGGCTGGATCGGGTCCTTTGATGCCACTGTAGCTGTCGACCCCCCTCCTCCTCCGACCTCCCACCTCCCTCCCCCTCCTCTCTCCTCATATCTGTGTTTTTGTGGGTGGATGGATGGATGAGCTGGCCGCACTTGGGGTGCGAGACATGGATCATATTTTGGGGGAGATGCTGCTGAGTGTGAGGAAAAGGCACCGGGGGTGAGGGGTGCAAGTGGGATAAGAAAGGAGAGATGGGGAGGGGCACGTTTTAGGCGAATATGGAATTTGATTTAAGGGCAAGCTTAGAGAGATGCAGGAATATATTATTGATGTATGGGTGTCTAGAGGCAGAACAAAGAAGAAGAAAAGATTGTATTCTAGTTTAAATGTGTGTAACCTATTGATTTTTGTATTTAATTTTGGAATTGGCAATACTTTCCTTGGTGTGAATGTTGCAAAGGTCTCAGAAGAAGACCTCACTAGAGTATACCTTAGCTTTTGGTTTTGGGAGTTTTTTACTTCTATTAGTTTTTTTTTTTAAATCCCAGTTGCCATCTGTTTAGTTATTTTGTTTACCCTGTCCTTATGGGTTCACTATTTCAGACTCGAGATGAAATTGGTCCATTCCAAAATGTCTTTCTTGTCCATTGTCTTCCATTGCACAGATGAGTAAGTAAAGTAAAGTGACTTCTGCTGTTAGGGTTTGCAAAGACAGATATGTTGTCAGAGCTATTTGTTTTGATTCTTCTGCCCTGATTTATATATATTTTTACTCTATCTCTATTTATTTTTTTGGTTCTTCATGTCTTAAACAAGAATTTCCCCCAGGAGATGAATAGAATAGAGAAACTCCGTCATCATGATTCAGTCTGCCATTGTCACTGCCGTTTTAATGTGTTGCCATTTTAGCATCCAACACGTTATTGTAAAAAAAAAATCATATAAAACTGGTTCATCAAATTCAATCCTGGCGTTGCTTCCACACTATATCTGTGAAACAAGACACATCTACTGTATGTCTCATTTACATTAACATTCTTACCTGTAACTCAATGAATGTCCTTCTCATACCAGCGCCACAAGAAAATAACATAAAATAATTCTGTATAATGTATTTGTATAATGGATGAATCACGCCAACCCACCTTGTATTGTTGTCCGCAGTGCTCCTATCCGGTATGGGAGGACTTCAGCGCCAAGGCCACCAAGCTGCACTCACAACTCCGGTAAGACTTTGAACCAATTGTTATCTGAACTTAATAATACTCAACCTCTTTTACACACTGTATTCTTTGTGTGTATAGAACCACTGTCCTTGCCGCGGTGGCCTTCCTGGATGCCTTTCAGAAAGTGGCAGACATGGCAACCAACACTCGAGGTAGGACACCTTTTGATTTGCCGTTTGATATTGTTGACACTAGAACTCCCAACGCCGTCGTTTTTTTTTTAACCAGGTTTGAGTGCTACAACTGGTTAATGTAACTTATAAGACAGTTTGTTGGCAGTAAAATGTGTTTTGCGATGGTAACTAGTACTTGATCTTCTTGGTAAAACGAGCTGAACCAGGACCAGTTTAGGAATAAGATCAGTGAAGGACCAGTCAAGGACCAGTCAAGGACCAGTTTAGGACCAGGAACAGTTCAGGAACATCAGGAGCAGTTCAAGACCAGTTCAAGACCAGTTCAAGACCAGTTCAAGACCAGCTCCATAACAAAATGCCTTTTACTCCCAGAGAAAGAAAGCAACCAAAAATGGCTTCATTTGAATTTTAGTTTGAGGTAGAACTTTGAGGTAGAACATAATTTCATGAAAATAATGGGAAAGACACTAAATATAGAAACAGAAAAAGGTCCATACGCTGAGTAATCACAGCCTCCAAAACGTAAAGCCGTCAAATTGACTGCTCTGGGTGTTCTCGTATAATATGTAGTAACCTCATTTAGATAGATTCTGCGTTTGGAGTTCTGAAGGAGCCAGTGGTGGGTGGGGAAATGTTCTGATCAAAGTGCTTCCCTCAGCCTAAAGGCGCAGTTTGTGAGTCTCTTCAAAGCTCTGTTTATCGAGACAAGCGGAAGTGTGTCAGATACAAACTAAAAGTGGATTTGAAGCAGCAGGGTGTGGAGAAGGAAAGTGCTCATTACACTTGTATGCAGATAGGAAGGCGTGTTTGTGCAGCAGAGACTGGAGATTTGTCCAATGTTGATTTGTGGATTCAAGATTGTTTTTGGCAAATTAATGTTTTTTTCTTTCCTCCTTTGATTTCACAGATAGTAAAATACACTAAAGCAGTGTTTTGATGTATTGGTGGGTTGGTCTGTAACGGCTTGTGTTTTTCGTGTTCACGTTGAAGAAGAAATATGGCACATTATTATTGGCCATTTATTGTCATGGTGTGGATTTTGTTATTTTGGACTGTAGTTTTATTTTGATATCTGTTCTCTGTGCTTTGGTTTTAGTTTGACTTTGACGTCCTGCTTGTCCCTTTGCTACCACTATCAATCAATCAATCAAAGTTTATTTATAAAGCGCTTTTCATACAACAAATGCAACACAAAGTGCTTTACAGTTTGGCTAAAAAACAATCCTGCCCATGCCCTCCCCCCGACCGCCCAACAGACCCTCCCCAGACCACAAGCAAACCCCCCCCCCCCCCCCCCCAAACAACTAGAGGGAAGTGTTTCGTTTTCTTCAGATCTGAAAATTACCGGGTGCAAACACATGTGATTGACAAGAATATAATTTAACTTGAGAAATGATGGGCCATACTTTTGTTTTGTTATATTATTTTTGATGAGGCAATGTTAATGTAATCATTCGGACAAGGTGTAAACAACCAACAGTTATGTACAATGTTTAAAGGCAATTCAATGCTCTCAGTAAAATGCAGTATTAATTGTAATAGTAATAGTTGTAACAGTTGTGCATGACCCACTTTAGACTTTTCTACATAATATCAAAATCATGCCTTCACTTCCCAGTTGTTACTTTGAAAATAGAATATTTATGGTTGTAAACTTGGCAAAATGTACAAAAGTTCAAGGTGTATTAGTACTTTTGAGAGGCACTGCCAGTATCATAGGGACACATGGAGAAAATACCAGTACTTAAAATGCTGCATACACAAATATATGAGCTCCTTTTACATTAGCCTTTAGGTTAACACAGCCGCTGCAATATCCTATAATTACAAATGATAAATACAAATAGGTTTTCATACATTGACCCCAACAAGCAAACCCAAAACGAAGCTGCTAGCGTCGCACCTCAATAGTTCCACCGGTGCTACTGGCCCCACATTTTCTTGGCAAAACACAACCATATTTCTGCCCAACACACACATTTTCTGCTATTTCCTGCATCTTCACCGTGTTTAAATTAGATCAGAGGCTAAACACGATGCTCTACTTTCTGCAGAATGTGGGATGAGTGCCACGGATGTCAGACGGCTCCCACTGCAGCCTGGCACAGTAATGTTTGTAGCTATATCTGCTCCGTACCATCGCATCTGTGCATGTGATCGTCCTGTGTGCGCTGCAGGTGGGCTCCAGAATAAGGACAGGAAGAGACCCCCGCTGTTTTTAATGGCACACACAGGAAATCAGCCGGCTCTGTCAGCTCACTAAGTATTCCGCCGCACAGGCAAATCCATAATTTTTGCATCCAAGAAATTATGAGCTTGCAAATGATGAAAAAATGCTAATGTACCGTACATACATTTATCCAAAGCACAAGCATCCGTAGAGAAGGGCCCTTTCCCTTTTAGAAATCACATCCATTATGTGTCTATTACAATGGCTTCCACAGTATATGATCCATTTGTACTATAATAATAATAATAATAATAGATTTTATTTTATTTCAAATTGCACATGTAGCTCGACTAGAGTCACCTTCTTTGGACTGAAAGTACTGCAAAACAACACTTTTCCTGCTCACGATTTCATTACATACGTCACGGTAAACTCGGAACCAATCGTTTCAATCTGCAAAAGGAGTTAACCCTTCCCACCTGTAAACGAAGCTAAACGGAGCAGCTCCAGACCTTAGTACGAAATGTCATTTGCGAATCCCGTCAAAAAATCCAATATTCGGCCAAATCCAATACCAAATCCTGGATTCGGTGCATCCCTACTTTTAGCGTTGATTATTATCTGATTTTCTCACTTCTACCAACCCTATTTGCCACATTGCCTTTTTCACAATTGCTGTTCTTCTGCAATGTGTGTGATGTTTTGTAATTTGTTTGTTCAATGAGCGGAAAAGGCACTGCACCATAATGACTCCCCCTGTCTATGCACCATGTGTCATGAATGTGTCCTTTTAAAGACACAGCTAATGTACTGAAGATCCCAGCCCTGCTTTGTACCAGCACTTTCAATACGAGCTCAAAGTGTGGAACTGTTTTGTGACCAACACTGCTTCTTTATGCATGTTTGTGGTTGTGTGTAGAGATGTGGGCAGTAAAATACATTCAAATGGAGGCTTGTGCAACAAAACATGGCTGTGAATTGAACTATTACGGGATGGAATGTGAAAAAAAATCATGCAAAGTTCTATGAGATGAATGTGACGCAAGATTGAGTACACGCATTAACAAAGCTTGACGTGTAATTCCAAATGAATGTTATTCTGTAGGTAGTGTCATTTTCAGTGTGTGCAGATAGCCAGGTCTGGGTGTCTCTGCTTAGACTGCTGCCCCCGCGACCTAACAACGGATGAAGCGGAAGAAAATGGACGGATGGATATACTGTAGTCCCAGAATGTATTTATTTTACATTAGAATGACTGTAGAGTGAGAGGAAATTAATTTGTTATATTTCAAATGATATCTAAATGCAAACAGATGCGCGGAAACACTGGTCTAATGCAAAGATTATTGAAGTGGATGAGGATTCAGTCAGAGCAGGGATGTCAGATTGGTTCTAGACAGGGCTGGTGCAGATACAGGGCCATAGGTTGGGATTGAAAACCTGCAGCCACACCAGCCTTCTGAGGACCGGATTGACACACCTGATTTAGAACATCTCATAATGCGTTTTCTATACAAAGCAGTAGGTATTACAGTCACTCATAACCCTGTCCGAACTAATATTATGGGAAGTGAGACGCTTCTCAGTAGTAGTTTGACCCCACTTCAGTGTCGTGTTTTTGACTTCATTCGTCATTTTCAGTGCGTCCAACATGAATAGAAGACAATTTTCCACATCCCATGTATTCTTAAAGTGGATTTCAGTTACTTTTCAAGTTGTGAGGACAGAGAAAACACATTATCAAGAGCAACCACAGTTAGACCCGCCCACGTTCACCCTTACAGCTTCCTGATTGGACGAAATGAATTCAAATCCTTGCCATTGGTCAAACTATTTTCCACCTGCAAATCTTACTGGTTGGGGTTTTGCCACAGAGGAGGGACTTTTAAAAATAAACATTACTTTTAGAATTTTATTTAATTGAGCTCATGATAGCACAGGATTACAAGGTCAGAAATATAATACATATTTGTTGCTGACACGATAACTAAAGAGACATTTCTCCAAGACCCCCTTCTATATTCCAAGTCCTTTTCATCAAATGTATTCCCCAATCTGGCTGGCAGCGTGCTAAAAAGGACTGCAGAACGTGTGAATGTGCAACCCGTGTGGAGGCTGAGAGTGTGGGCGAAACACTTCTAACGAGTTGGTGAAATCTTGCGAAGAGGAAGAGACGGAAAACACGAACATTTGGAACTCCCCCGTGAGCGGAGTCAACCGGAGTGCGCTTTTACATGCCGTCTCCCAACACAAACAGTCACTCTTCCCCTGGGCTTGCATCGCCTGACAGAGCCAGTGACAAAATAGGGAGAAAGAAAATGAATGCACGCAACAGAAATGCGATTTAGACATTGTGCGATGTGTGCCGAGATGAGCCGTGACAGCTCACAACTGCTTCTCTATGCTCTGGTGGAATGTGTGTGGTCCAAAACGAATGGGGAATGAACCAAGAGTATCGCATTGGTGTTTGTGAGGCTGAGCTGGCATCGTAATTTGCATTTGTTTGTGTAAAAATATCCAAAAAAACAATTTGTGCATGACCCTTCGGCAACATCACAGCCACAGAAAGGAAAGCTCTAAACAAGAGCTCACAGAGGACTGTGGGCTGTGAGCTGTCTGTTCTGGAAGTTTTTTATGAATCCAGACTCTTAAACTGAGCTCTTATGATAATCAATGACTCTTGTTCCAGCTACTTCCTTCTGGCAGTAGATCAGGACATCAGCTTCTTTCCCTGAGCTGTTATCAGTTTAGACAAAGCACTTTAATGATATTGACTTTATATTGAAACTGTTTAAAAAAAAAAGGTTTCCTGCATTTTTTGTTTTGTTTTAATCTGTACTTTTAACCT